CAAAAGGTGATATTCGTAATCACCGTGAAATTTTGCATCGAATGATATAGTTTTAAGTGAAAAATAAGAACTTGCAATTCTTTTGAATTAGCGGCGCCTTATAGTTTGAGGAAAAAACGGTGATACATTTGAGGAGTTTCTCTCGTTAGATTTTAGTGTCAATTGACATCTAATATATATGCCCTATGTCCAGCGGGAGATAGAATAGAGGAGAAAACCGGCGAAATTGAAGACAAACGTAGAAATTGGAGACTTTGTCGTATACTTGATGCTCGTATCTCTCAGTCACGCAGGAAGGTATATGGACAGACATGTATTTGATGTCAGTTTACAGTTGAGCCTAAACTCACGGCAGGTGCAAGTTTGACAATCTATGTAAAAATGATTTTTGTTCTAAACGAAAGTTATAACCTGCTGTCTGTTCTTGGATCATAAATAACGATACACTCAATATCGAATATTTCAATATTATTAATTTCAATGTTTATCTTTGTAAGTTGATCTAGATAAATTGTTTTCAATTTATAGACATTTTTCTAAACAGTAAAACATTGTTTTGACGAATAGTTGAAGTACTTTTGTATTTCCATTTTTTCCGACTTTAATGGTACATTTTTTTCTATTTCAGTCTGAAAAATTATGCCTTTTTCGTTCGAAGATCAAAGTTTTTCAGTTTGCTTCAAAATGAAAAGTTTGCGAGATTGTTGCGACAAGTTTTCAAGTGCTTATAAATCAATCATTATTAGTTTGGGTATTTTGACAAAAACGTCCCATGGTTTTAGTGCAGATATCTTTCCACTTGCAAACCATATCTCGACTCGAAATGTATTCTCGAATTTCGACTTTCGAATTTGAAATTTGACTTCGACGTTTCATTTTCCACCGTTCAAGAGTCGAAGAATTCATTTGGCTTGAGGGTAACGAGTCGATTTTCCACTAAGAAAGTTGAGATATTTAAGGCTTCCTGTTAAAAACTTATTTTTTTTGTTCTACATCCGATCTTGATGAAATTTCCATAGAATGTGTGTCTGACCTTAGATAGTTGACAGTAAAATTTTGAGCACGAAATATTGAGTTTTCGAAGAGTTTACGACTTTTCTAGGCTGAAATATGCATTTTTTATTTCTGCTTATTTTCGTTGGGTTTGAGCGAAGAGCGCCTATAATGCCTCGAGGAAGAGTTGGTGGCCGCTAATATTTTTAGCGTTTGACCACTTCACTATACTCTATCGAATGAGATATGAATGAACTGAATCGGAGCTGGACACCTGGATAGGGTTCCTCGTTAGTTTCAATGCCTAAACTCAATCTGATTTGATCAAATCTGAAGCAAAACTCGGTATCCAAAGGTAAAACGTGACACCAAACCTCACCAACCTAAAAGGTTTCACCAAACCTCTCAAATCCAAACGGTTGAGGTTTGGTACATGCCTAATTGCCATAATGACTTTTTCTCTGAGCATTATGTTTGGAGGAGTTCAGTAGATAGAGCTAAATTTTATTCCAAAATCATGCTTCTTCCATACAATGGACGAACTAAGTAGCAGATTAAGAACATATTGAAACTTCTTCACTAAATCGAAGAACTTCTCGTCACAATTCTTTTTACTTTTTTTAGCAATTTATTGGCATTGAATACCAATAACCTTGCTCTATCGTGGTTGCATCAATGGTACTAGATGGAGAAAACCGTGTTATGCTTTCATACCAGCATGGTAGTATAACTGCCGTTAAAGCAGTTTACAATATGTTAATGGCAGCGAATATTCCTGTTTGGTTCGATAAGCAAGACTTGAAAGGCGATATATACGACGGGTAAAAATCTCATTATAGCACCTACTTCCCTAACACTTTAGCTGTATATTTTAATGATTAGAATAGCAGAAGCAGTAAACAATTCGTCGGTCATCTGCTGCTTTTTAACACCAGAATACGAGAATTCTTCGAACTGTAAGCTTGAATTACAGCTTGCACAAAAACTTGGAAAACGCATTCTCCCGTGTATGGTTATTAATAGAAAAATGTGGAAGCCGTCTCCAGGAAAGTGGTTAAACTTAATTACAGGCTCAATACTTGCTATAGACTTCTCTGATCCTACCGAAGAGAAAATGCATACGAAAGTGAACGAACTGATTGACAGAATAAAAAATCAAGTACGACTTTCTACAGCAGAATCAGTACCGGCTGCAATCAAATTATTTGCTTCGATTCGGCAAAAATATCTACAAGAAAATGGAATTTATCGCATAATATATGAAGAGAAAAGTTTTCCAATCGAACAAGGTTACATCAATTTAGCTATGATAGAAACCAAGAACAGCAGGAAAAAGAGAAATAGCTTAAGCAGCAAGCGAAAGAGAAATCGGAACGAGAACGTGATTATTGTCAGTCACATCATAATGAAATCCTCGGCACTTTTAAAGAAATTTATGGAGCCAAGACTTCAATAGAGATGGCAACCATTTTCCAAAAATGCAAGGGCCAAAGAAGAAATGTGCTAATACTTGGACGAGCCGGAATTGGTAAGTTAACATTTTGCCAATACGTTAGTTATCGATGGGCTTCAGGTGAAATTTGGTCAGAATATAAGTTTCTTATTCTAATTCATTTACGAAAGTTGACGAACAGGAACTATCCACATGGAAAACAGTACTCACCAATTGACGTTGTGAAGGAAGAACATTTGCCTTTTAGTGATGTATCAGAGGAAGAACAATCTCTCTTCAAAGAATATTCTGATAAAGGTCAGATTCTATGGGTACTAGATGGTTATGATGAATTTTTTCAGAATATGCCAGAACATCTACAGAAGGTCTTTGACCATATACGCGAGACACAACATCATATCTTAACATCACGTCCTTATGCCATTGCATTACTATATGATGTTAAATTGGAAATAACTGGATTCACAAATGATAATATTACCGAATATGTCGAAGATTTCTTCGATCAGATTAAAGACGAAACATCGATAGCATCACCTGAAGGCAACAAGCTTCTAAGATACTTAGAATCGCACCCAATATTTGAGGTATTCCCGTGAATTTAGAATTGATCTGTAGCATTTGGAGTAATAAAAACTGCTCAGAAACCAAAACTTTGACAATGACAACATTGTACGATGATATCACAGAATGGTTATATCGACGACATTTAACAAGACAGAATATAAACCATTAGCTAATGACGAAGAAAGCTGTTTATAAGAAATGTGATACCCAGTTGCAGTTTTTAGAACGCTTGGTTTTCCGAGCGAAGGAATGCAACAAGATTATTTTGCCCTCGGAACTACTCGAAGAGACTGAAAACGAAACCACGTACTTTTTAGTCAACTATCCATAATTATTGAATTTGGGTATTCTCAAGTCATACAATGATAAACCTATTGGTGATCGAATACAAATCAAAACGCAACATTATTTTGTTCATCTCAGTTTTCAAGAACATTTTGAGCGCGTCATCTGATAAAAATGCTCCAGAGTTCCTATAACAACACAGCAATTCGCTTTATCAAAGATCACAAGTATAATCAGCGTTTTCTCTTAGTCATTCTTTTTGCGTTTGGGTTTCTTGCACAACCTGATTACCAGTCGTGCATGGATATCTTTTGGTCAACTATTCAAGGACAACCCTTAGACCTCGTCGGTTTGAAACATATAAAACTAATAATTCAATGCATTGATGCACTTAGAGAATTTACATCCTTTCCACAGTATACAAAGTACTAACAGTCCATAGTTAAGTGGCTAGAAATATGCGTCTGCGCGAATGCATCCAAAATGACAGATCATCTCAGAGAATCTTTCCAAAGAACAGCTTTTATAGCAAATGACTGCGTGATACAAAGTCAACTTCTCAAACTCTTCGCTATCTCAGACAACGACACCAAAATCAAACTACTGAAGCTCGTATCATACTTTGCAACATCGACGTCGATGCTAAAATTTATTTCTACTTTTTTTGTGGTTGCACCAAGAGATGAAGATTGGTGTGTCAAGTGGCAGGCATGTAGGCTCCTTCGGACTATGGATGAAAAAGTAACAACCAAAGAGTTGATCACTACTCTTATCAATATACTTGACGAAGGCTTCGACATCAAGTGGAATGCAGACCATTTCCTTCAAGCTATAAGTGAAAAAGCAACTACAAATGAGCTGGTCGCTGCCTTGATTACTGCGCTTCAGTGTGAAGATTCTCATATCAGACGCAATGCATCTGAAGCCATTCGACTGATAGGTGACAAAGTAGCAACGAAAGAGATGATCAATGCTCTGGCTAATGCACTTCAAGATGAAGAGTCTAAAGTCAGAGAAAATGCACGTAGCGCTCTTCGACACATGGTTCAAAAAGCAATAACAAATGAGGTGATCATAGTGGCGTAACCAGGATGTACCCCCTTGGATACGCCACTATTTGGCTTCCACTGAGAAAAAGCTCATTTGTAAAATTTTCTCGGTGGGGGTGCTCAGCACCCCCATGCATAGCCTTTTACTGAAAGTACAGGATTATGCAAAATACATGCTTGCGGCATGACGTCGTTCACAAAAGCGAAACAAAAGATAGTGACTGATCGATATAGTTTAGAGCTATGAACTTATAAAATGTGTATACCGGACTGAGAATTCTATTTTCAATCAGACCTAGATCAGCAGTATTCGTTCGACGACGTTTACTTCTTGTGTTTGCACTACAACTTGTTTTTCTATTTGTTTTGACTGTACGGACAACCGAAAAGAGGAGTTAAAACATGTTTATGGAACTATCCTACGGCTTGTTTATTAGGTATACGGCTGAAATGACTTGTCGACTCGTACTTAAGCACAAGAATTAACAATAAAACATTATTCGGATCGATAGTGGAAGCGCTCTTTTTAACATATCATATCTGTATCGAAAGCAACAGGAATTCGAGAAATATCGATGAAGTACTGAAGCCACCTCTCTAATGTGGCCAGAAGACGTTCTTTTCGGATTGTTTTAGATGAGAAAGATGACTCTGTTCGGCTAGGGATATATACCTTTTTCTCAACAACATAAGAACAAATATGGATTATTCAGAAACACGATAGCTTTTCCAAATAAAAGCTTGTACAGGCAATGGACTATTTGATTGTTGATAAGTTTTCTTTATCTCGCTTTTCCGACTTCACCAAGATACATCACGTTATCAAAGCTCATCGAGTGATTGTCCATTAATTTATTACATCTAAGACGCATAAATAATTCGAAATATTTCATGTCTGTTACACGAAAGAATGATTACGAAAAAGAAATGACAAGTAGCTATGAAACATTGGACAATAATGTTTGAACCATACTGGCAATATTTGTATGTCATAAAACGGTAAACACGTGTTTGAGTGTATGAGTGACAATGACCATATAAAAAAGAGCTTCATATTTTATGTCATGTCATACTTCTTTCTTTCGATCTTTTGCCCGTTGTTTGCGCGTATAGAGAGAGCCATCAAAGGAAAGAAAGTGAGAAACGAACAAATTTCGTATTTGCATCCAAATGTTCTTATAAGGAATACTGCATTCACTGTGAGATTACTCTATATTCTGTTCACTGAACAGGCCAAAATTAAAATAAGTAGAACATAAGGCGCCGCTAATTCCAAAATCAAGTGGAAAAGCTTTCGAATTTTCAGACACATATTCTGATTCGTCGGACGCTGTTAATCACGAATCTGACCTTATTTTTTCAATTTCACCGAATTTTCATGCGGAAAACCTCAAAATACTGTGAAGGCGTCAAAAACCTCGAAAAACCGATTTTTCAGAAAAATCCTGATTATCTCCTGATCTTTTCATTTTTCGATCTCACCAATACGATTTTCGGATTCAGCATCGCGAAGCACATCTAGACACTTGTCATTCGATGACTTTTCTTCAAGACTTAAACGTAGCTGATCAAACACTGATCGCTGGAACCTTGAGGTTCTCACCGCGCAATGCTATCTAGTTTTTTGCCATGAGAGTTAGAGACTTCTTTCATACGCCAGAAGTTTCGCCTTGCCTTGCTCCAGAAAAGTATGCTTCGTTCTTTTTAAAACATTTTTCCTTTTAGGAGAAATTAGGAAAAGACTGAAAAAGTGCAAGTTTTTCAAAAAATCCTTCAGATGATAAGCCCATAACTCAGCGATATTCCCGTCTAGAGAACTGCTATTATGGTTTTCTAGGTAAAGAGCAATGCTGAATGCGTTAGAAATGTGTTTGAGAGGTTTGGACTTTTCCAAGTAGGTTTTGCAAAAAAAACCAGAACTCTGAGAAACCTGATATATTTCGCAGCTCTGAAACCAAATTTTCCGTATTTAGTACGTATAACACTTTCATCAAACATACGTTTAGGCCCCAAAGTCCGACAATGCGAACGCAGTCTTACAAGTTTAGGCATAATAAATGATCAAATAACTCACAAAAATAAACAAACGGACATAGTCCAAAAACAGTCAAAAAAATTAGAATAGATTCAAAAATATAAACTACTAATAACTAATCACTAACAAAATATTCTTTATATGTGTTTCATAGAAATTTTTAACTTTTAAAAACAGCATTTTTCAATTTAAAAATTTGAGTTTGAAGAATGTTGAAAAATACCTCGTTCATATTCCAGAGAATCTGATTCTGAACAGCTTTCGTACCTATACTTTTCCTTGAAAATGCTTCCTTAGAGCGAAATTTGGTTCAGCGTGTCTTTAAAAATACTTCTTGCTCCAAAATGCCATCGGGCAGGTCAAAGCTGAATAACTCAGTTAAAATTTGACCGAAATTTGGACCGAATTTTTTCTAGATACATCCTAATGTCCTCTATTGATTGACACAAAACAGAGATTATATGTAGAAATCTGAAAATTTTATTAAAATTTTAAAAATGGATAAAAAACCGAGACTAAACTTAAAAAATTATTTTCTCAAAAACTACTGGTCCAGTACCCGAAAAATGTTTAGACATATACACTTTAAAGTGGCCTCTACAAACTGATAGGAAAAACCAAGTGGAGGAATCCCCCCTTTTCAGATTTGGTTCGGTACTAATCTAGTTGCTTTTGAACAACATCTGAAACGCAAATTATATAGGAATAAAGGCGTCGATCTTTTTTTTGTGTCAGTTTTCATGCAGTTTCTTTAACAATTTCAGTTCCTTTGCTTTACTTTTAGTAACATAATACTCGAATTTGTAGAAAACAGAAATTTCTCTTTATTCGCTCATTCTGATTGTGTACATAAAACCAATAAAAAATATTTATCTTTCTAGAAACCAAAGTATTTTCTGTTGTTTTTTTCAACATTTATTGAACTTTACCGTATGTTGCAGATAAAATAGAGTATTTCCTGACATTCTGAAATGGGTTGAATGGATTTTGACTGAGTTATGAGTTTTTCAATTTTTGATGAAAATAATCAAAAATGGGTTATTTCACGTAGTATAGGTTTTCACTTGGTTGCTGCATTTTGTTCTGAAAATTAATATTGCCACGAGATTCAGCACAATCGACAACCTATGTTTTCATTCATTTCTGACAGTCCCAAACCTAACGGCAGAAAAGTGCTAAGGCTTCAGGGAAAAGCTCCCGAATCATGGGTTTTCAAGATGTCTTTTGGATCCAGTTTTGTAGAAGATACTTCAGACTATATATGCCCACCAAAATATTACTAGATTCCTACTTGAATTTTGGAAAATCCAAGCTACTTTTCTAAAGATCTTCTGGAAATCCGCCTTCGAAAATTTTTCAGAAAATCGGTTTCGCTTGTTAAAAGACAGCCTCAAGTTTTAGCTATCGAATGGTGAAAACCGCAAGTGTCTATCTCTATTTGATGTTGAGTTATTCAAAAAATAGGCACATGCCTAATTTTTTTTGACAGACAGTCGTAGTCGTGGTCTATATAGTTTGTTCAACACAACAAATATAACAGTGTAAGTACTTATGTACGTTATGACGCACTAATTCGTCACGTGTGTATTTAGTCAATTTGTTTTCCATACAATCATATTTTGATTATCTTTATTATATTCTACATTAACATTTAAATCGTTCAATTGAATAAATTCTTTTAACCATTGTTGAAAATGTTGTTTATCAAATATATCAAAATCATCACCATTCAATGATATATTAAGAAGTTCCAGATTAATCACTTTTCTAAATAATAAAGGTAATAGAATATAAATATTATGTAACATAATTTTCTCTAATGTCAAATAATGAATATTAGAAAACATATAACAAAATGTTTTTATTTTAAAAGTGTCATTTTCCATTGACCCCTTGATGGTTAATGTAGTCAATTTTTTTAACATCTTTTTATCAATACCATCATTACCTAATTCATTTATTAGTTGTGTTAAACTGACATAGGATAATCTCAAACATGTTAAATTCGGCATCAAATTTATTAAATCGCTCAATTTAATTACATTCCGTGACAACTGACGACTGAAATCTAAAAAAAATACGAAATATTTTTATTTTTATTGTTCTACTAGGAATCCAGTTGAGTCATAATTGATCTTTTGCAAAACTTTGTAACACTAGAGACATGAAAATATTTTTCTAAGGATGCTCTACTAAGTTGCACCATGAAGCTGCTCATTTTCTTTCCCAAGCAAAACTGAGTAAGCGAGAAAATCTAGCTGCAAAAATAGCTGAAGCGCCCACTTACAGCTAGATTAACTACATTAAAAGGTACATTTATCTAGCTACATGCTGATTGAAATCGTGTACTAGCTGAAACGGCCGCTGCAGTGACCAATTAATGGCGCAATGAATTGCCCGATTAATCGGTGGCAACTAGTTGTACCCAGTTGAAGCTAGATTCAATCTAGCCGAAGCTATATCAAAGGACAAGTGGCAGAATGTAAGGTTTCGTGCCCAAAAAATTACGCAATGAGTCATACATATTCGGAATCAGCGTCGAATTCTGAGTAAAACTGTATTCTCAGATCGTTCAAATTCGCGA